CTCCTCATAACCAAGCCGACCGAAGCGGTTGCTCTTCCTGATAGCGTTTCTTCAAAGCTTCGTCATGAATAGGCTAAACAAGTGAGTAATGAAGAACTTACAAAATACTCGAGCAAAATAAAACAAAAGACTCTTACGAATGGACAGAACCCAAGGTCGTTTTTTGTGTTTCGAAATGCTTCCGCAAGACAGAATCCAACAAGAAAATCCCTGCATACATCAGGATGATCGAAATCAATAGCGGCGCTCTAAAATATCCTATCTAAATGATCAAAAAATTCTCATTCATTATATACGAACAATAGAGATAGCCAAGAAATATAGATCAGGAAACTATGGACTTCATAAAATGGACACGTACAATTACACTATGAATGATTCAGGGCCCACGCTAATATCTGCGGTCACACGCTCAGTAATGGAAACGGATGAGGTGATACGACAGTGAGGGAAAAATAAAAAAAACGTGAAAACCCTGAATGGTTCCAAGTTCCTAGGTTGTGGGGAGATTAGGAGGCAGCAAACGCGAGGGGGTAGTGGAAGCTGAGCAGACAGGTCAGGCTGGTGCGACAGAGCAACGAGCGTGAAAGCAATCGGTGGGAACAACGAAGTCCCAACAAATCCCAATCTCAGTATTGAGTTCTCACACCTTTGATGTAGTTGATGAAGTAGATGTGGTCTAGCATTGGAACGTAGTTTTTCAAAAAAAAATCAGAAAACAGTTAGTCGTGTTCAGTCGCTTAATTACATCTATATTTTGAAAAGTATACAATCGTCGTCTTCCATCATGTGGCTTGAATAGTGAAAAAAATCTTAACGAGACCTACTTCTCCAGGTAAAGAGTTGCGCTGTGGGCCCATAAGCTCATTGAGCATTTGAGCCATATAATCCGTCATTTTGGAGGAAGTGGCGAGATCGACCCAATTGATCTAAAATGTAAAAAATGCTGAATATTAACAACATTAACAAATGAGACTGATGTGAACATACTGCGAAAATACTTCCCACAACAAATTAGCAACCACTGAAAAAAAGGTGCAGCGCTGCGGTGAAGAGCGCCCATGACATTTCAAATCACAACATGCACTTTCTTTCATTGCAAACGTCAATGACCAAGCCCAAGCACTAGGAGGGGGACGAGAGACTCTAGAGCGCTTGAACAACATTGTTTCCCATAGTTCCTCCCCTCCTGATCCCAGTCCTCCGAAAGCCCTCATAGTCTGGCTCGCAATTGCTTCTTCAAGGCATCTCTGCAAGGACCGCATGCAAAAAGACAAGGAAGCGGCCTAGGAATAAAGCCGCTAGTTCATGACCTTGACTTCTCAACCAAAACTAGGATCAAGCAGTTAATGCGTTACAATGCCCCACCTGAATGAATAGACCCTCAGCTTATCTTGTACCCCAAGGTTGGAAGTATTTTTGAAACAATTCAGGCGTTGGTGATGTAACACATCTGTTCTACACCACTTTCCCTATTCTGTGGACGAATCAGGCGTGCAGAAATTTTGCGATGAATTTATACTCTTTCAAAATGTAAGGAGAGAGATAAGCTTTTTCTAAATTCGTAAAAGGCACGTCTGCTGTTTGCCCATTAACGTGGCAGCGGATAATGCCATGGAACTAGAAGATACGCTCCCAACGCCTCCTTGTGCCGCGGAAATGACGGACTGCAAGCAGATCTATTACTTTAAGGATCCAGAGCAGATTCCCCAATGCCGTCGCGAACGATTCGATTGTAGATGCGAGATTCCTCTTCCAACTCGTTGGAAACCGTATATTTGTCGCGCGGAAAATGACGGTGCAATAATAGCCGCAAAAGATGACTAAATCTGTACGTTATTTATGACTAATCTGGTATCGTTTATCTATCTGAAGGCCGATATCCCTCTTAAGCCCCGAATGTATGCGTATTGACTAGAGGATCGTCGACATATCACATCGACGGATGGTTATGGGGCGGCGTCAGTCAATCAGTGTGCATTCTAGCCCTTTGAAAATATGCAACTGCCAAATGGTCAAAATGCTTTATCGCGTTCGGCCAAATTTAGATTCGCGATACCTACGATGCCTTTCAGCATCAGCCCCATTTCGCTTTAACCGCGATGTGCAAGAACGGGGTCTTCGTTTAGGTGGAAAGAAGAATCGTAAATTGCAAAACGAAACAAATGAAACGCAGGCCTCACAATGCTAGGCCCGTGTCCAAGACTTGCCGTGTGCTGAACGGATGGTGCCGTTTTAAAATTGTTTTTTTTTTTTTGCTTTTTCAATGGAATTTCTATGTGAAGCCTGGACCAAAATACTCTGATTCATGACGAGAGAGCTAGCTAGTGAATGTAACAAATGTTTGGGAAAAAACTTCCATGTTCCCCGAATGATGTGTTAATGTGTCGGCAGTATTACGAAGGGATATGCAGCGGTATTAGAGACTTCCATCATCTACGCACCACCATATCCCCAGCTTTATTAGTTCCATTACTTGTGGAGCGGCATGTTTAGTAAGACGCAGTGAAACCAACTTTACATGATATACAACAAGGGCACAACAGGGAGCTCTATGCCGAATGGTGGGTAGGGGACGGGGATGGGTAAATGTTGGGGAGGTTCGCCGCAGGTCCACTGGGTAACGGCCGCACCATTGATTTTGCAGCTTTGTTTAAATTATTTCATAGCTGCTTTTGGGTGTAAAGGCCGGACGCATAGTCGGTCGGACGACAGCAACGACCGCAAGTGTCGCATAAACCGCGGTTGCAAATGGAAGGCGACGCGGTCACCCAATGCTAACCCAGACAACACGTGACTGCGCGTGATCGTATTTCGAAAAGTCCCACTGTAGTGTGGAATAGTAGCGAACCCCAGAGACCCCCCCCCCCCGCCCACCTACGCGCATCGCCCAAGAAATGCAATCTGGGGGCCGCGGTCGGCGCGGCAGTCCTGCTCATCCTGGGGCTCTCGGAGAGAGACAGTGGTAACTTCGTGAAATTCGCTTTTCCGCAGTGTTAAGTGAATGCCCCCCACCCTAGGGCTTATACACTCCCCTGGACCGGTGATTTCCGATGCGCGAGACGAGCAGACTGGCCGCGCCGCAGCGTGGCCCCCCGCCCCCCAACTAGCGTTATCTTATTCGAAAGTCCCACTGTAGTGTGGAATAGTAGCTGCGTATTGATCTGCGACACTTACGATCGTTGCTGTCGTCCGACAGCAGCGGTCGTAAGTGTCGCATGTGTCGCAGATCGATACGCACCCAATGCTGTGCGACACTTGCGATCGTTGCTGTCGTCCGACCGACTATGCGTCCGGCCAAAGAAAGATTTACGTGCGAATATACAATCAGAAACAGTAAAGGATGGAAACAAAGCTGCAAAATCAAAGGTGCGACCGTTGCCCAGTGGGTCCTGCGACGAACCTCCCCAACATTTACCCATCCCCGTCCCCTACCCAACATTCAGCATACGGCCCCATGTCAGTGATTTATGTGATAGTGATGTAAGAGAGTAGAAAACTGCAGATAAGCACATATGATGGACACATCTTTCACCAATTTCCTTATCAATAACTGTTTTAACGCACATCACAATTAACTACAAAATGTGTAATGTGTTCTTACAGTTATAACCTACGCTTAACCGGTTGGAATAAAGTGGAACAAAGAAAAGAAGAATGCAGAAAACATCTGTCATTTCTCACTTCATCCAAAGAATGAAGTTGCCTCGTTTACAATCTTGAAGCTTTTTCAAATGGAATGATATATGTTCAACATGGCTCGCACCTTCAGGAAAGCTAAAGACACATCCCTAAATCACCGAATTTTTCACTAACGCGACTCCATTCCCCAATATAAGCAAAAAGTTCATGTTTAATAAATCAATGGTTTGACCTTCAGCTCAACGTGGGTCTAGGAATGCTCATCTGTAAGATATGACCAATAGGATGTCGAAGGGCACTACTTGAACAAAATAAACGGCGCAATGTGGCTCGGGGGGGGGGCACTCTGAGAAAAGTCATCTAGGACTAAGCCTAAACAGCAGGGACGAACTCCGGAGAATACGAAAATTGCTTCCGTACACCGGAGTTCCTCTCCTCTTCAAAAGCTTAGTCCTAAAACGGAGCGTTTCCGTGATTTTGACGCGATGTTGCGAGGTGCCCCCCCCCCGAGCCACATTGCGCCAAATAAACTAATAGCAAACAAGAAAAATAAAGCATATAGT